ATGGATGGATGGATGGATGGATGGTTGGATGGATGGATGGATGGATGGATGGATGGATGGATGGATGGATGGTTGGATGGATGGATGGATGGATGGATGGATTGATGGTTGGATGTTGATGGATGGATGGATGGATGGATGGATGGATGGATGCCTCTCTACCTACTTGCCACCATACGGTGCAGTTCCAGCGGGGCCCAGCAGGAGGCATGCTGGAGCAGCAAGGTAGACGAAGCTGTCGGTGCAGAGGAAGTCTCCCTCCTCTGGTTTCTGTGGAGCAATGGTGGCCATCTTAGGGTCTGTGGTGGGTCCCTCAGCTTCGGTGCTTCCTGCTTGTATCTGGATGTTGTGCTCCTTTGCATCATGGGTAGAAATCTCTTTAAGTCCTGCAGCTTCACCTTTGGGCAGAGGTCTTGCAGACACGGCGAGGTAGACGAAGCTGTCTGATTGGACGAAGGGATCCACGTCCCCGCAGTCCAGGCCTGAGCTTCTCAGTGGCTTCTGGTACGGATCTAGAAGGTGTTTGATTTGTTGCTTGGAAGGAGAAAGAGGAAGGGGCGGGTCCATGCCCATCACGGTTACTTTCTTCCTGGGCGGCGCTTCCTGCCTCTGGGGGGCAGTGAACGAGACCTTTATGTCAGGTTGCTCTGCTGGAGGGTCATCCTGGTCCACGCCGGCGTCTCCACACCCTGAGTCCTCTCCGCCGCCGTGTCCGTCCACATCTTCATAGGATGGTGTGTTGAGCAGCGAAGGGTAACACCACTGGAGCTCGGAGCTCTCCTCCCTTCCCCACTCCTTCAAGCCTCCATCATCCATATCTTTCTCTAGTGAAGTGTTGCTGCTGCCCAGTTCAGAGTCGCTGATTGGCTGGTCGCTGTCAGAGCCGCCATCCTCCTGGCTCTGATTGGATAAGGAGAGAAAGACGCCACTGGAGTCAGACTCCAATGTCAGGTTGGAGTCCGGAGAGCTGTCCTCCTTATTGGAGCTGGAGAGAAAACACAAAGCAGTCGATGAGTCCACTGGGCTGTCAGAACAGTACCAACCTACTTAGTGAGGCCAAGGCCATGCTTTCATCTTGATGATGTCATGCTCAGGTGGACAGATAGCTGATCAGCAGCAGCTTGTAGAGTGGCTGGGACATGTGTCTGCCTTTAGCCACTGGCAGGGCGCTTATCAGGAGGCTGATTGCCACCAAACCCATTTTTCAGGCATTCTTTCCCCAACCACTGCAGATTCAACCACTTTTCTCTGCCTTTCCTATGTGTCTCTCAGTCTGTCTGCTCCTGACACCTGTTCTCAGAGGCATGGTTCATTTTGTTCATATTGTTCATTTTGTTCTGGATAAAGGTTCCCAGAACAATATGAACCATGCTTCTGACTGCCCATGCAAGCAAAAGGCAGGCTGACTCATCAAAGATCTTCGTGCAGGGCTATGAAGGGATTTTTACAGACATCCCATCATTTCAAAGTAGCTTATTGTGGCGTTGAAATTAACTTCAGTGTTATTTCCTCATTTTGCTAAATGAACAGAAACGCTGCAGATACAGCAAGACAGGAACTTCCAGTCAGGTGTTTAATCAGAAGAGTGAGGTCTCCTAGAACCAGAACTTTACCGGACCCAAAACTTCTGGACAAGCACCTAACAGTCTGCAGCATAACCAGGCATCATGTCCATCCATGTCCCAGGAGCCGCCAGCCTGGTATATTGGTGGATGTTGTTTACTGTCCAATCAGGAAAACATTGAAAACCTGTTATGTCATAACTGAAGCATGTCCAATATTAGTCTGAGAAGAATACTTTTTGAAGAACAATGTTAGAACCTTTCAGCTAAATTTGTGGTGTGCCTCAAGGCCCCATGTTTAGCTTCCATATGTTTCTGAATTTAAATAGACTTACATATGGAGTGTTAACAGTTTTTCAGTGTGAGAAATCAATATTCCAAAATTATAATTAAAACAGGTACAAAACAATGCAAGATGAAAACATTTATGAAGAAATATATCAGAGTAACTAACAAAAAATATCTTTGTTCAGGAATTACCTCGGTCCAGCAGTGGGGGTGCTGGCAGATTTAGTTGACCAGTCACTAGTTGACCTGTCGGTGTCGGTTGGTGTCATCGCATTCAGCTCCAGACTGACCTGGGATCTGCTGCTAACGCCTGAAAATACAAGAAACCAGGAGACACATGAGAACCAGACAGCTCAGGGTTCACCTGATGGGTTTCATTCAAACCCTGTCCAAATGACTGGACGGATGGACGGACGGACAGATGGGTGGTCACAGCTCCCCCTTCAACTGTTACCCTCCGCCTTTTCCCCGATACAGCGACCTGGTTGATGCGACTGGCCATGCGGCCACGTCGCTCACCTGGGCGGTCTGTGCTGGGACCCCCACCTGCCATTACCCCCTGTGGCTGCAGGCTCAGGCACCCATGTATCATGTTATTTATTTGTTTGTTCTTGTGATGGGCTGTACTTAAGCAAATTTCATTGTCCTTCTGTACGATGACAGTAAAGACTGATTGATTGATTGATTGATTGATTGATTGATTGATTGATTGATTGATTGATTGATTGATTGATTGATTGATTGATTGTAGTAGGGCTAAAATGATTCCTCGAATGATTCGAGTAAATTCCTCTAGGAAAATTTACTCGAGCTTCGTTAAATTATGTTTTATTATTTAGCGCACCGTGTTCTGGCCGGAACATTATTTGCGTTGTGCAGAGCTCTGACTTAAGTGTTAGCGGCATAACGTCCAATCTTCAAGTTCGGCCCGTGGGGATTTTATTGATTAATGATAATTCCGGGTTTTCATCGTTTTCGGGAACCAATAAACATCCTTAAATAACCGGAGCGATCCGGGAGTCCGGCAGCCTTTCTGCTCCGGAGCTGCTGGTTCAGAGCTGAGGAGGATTTCTACAGGCAGAGACTGAACACGGCGGGCGGCTGATGCTGACGAACCGGAAAATGAATGTCACGTCATCCCGGTCTGAACCAACGGGAGGCGGAACATGGCTGGTAGAGGAGCTTCTGAGAGGGATGAACGGAGGAGCCGAATCCCGGAACATGAACAGAAAAGCTATAAATGTTTGGTCAAGTTGAGAGTTCATCTGTTAAACTGACTGGAAATGAACACATGAACTAAAAGCTGGATTATAGACATTTTAAAATATATATATAAGCGTATTTGTGAGCCTGCGTCTTTATTATTAAATTGATTATAATTTCAGATAAATTCTTCAGGTTAACCTAGAAAGTGAGCTGTTGTTGTTACAGGTTGATTTTCTAAACTACAGTAACATAACTTAGGGAAGCTCAAATATGAAAAAATTGACTGATATGCAACAGTAATACTGCTGTTACACTAGATTTACCAATATTTTATTTTATAGGTTTTTATCCGATTGTCGATTAATTGTAAGAATAATCAATAGATTACTCGATTACTAAAATATTTGTTTACAACAACCCTAGATTGTAGCTTGGCCTGCCAGCAAGCAACCGATCGGCAGATAGGTTCCGGTTCTGCCAGAGAACAGCAGCATAACATTGTTCTCTGCTTTACAGAATAAACTTTGAGAAACCTGAGGCTATCCGTGTAGTGATGACACATCCTAGCAAACTGGCAGGAAAACCGATGTCATTGTTGCTATGGCAACGTGATGTTGATCCAAAAAGTCACCATGGTTAATTATGCATCATTCGGATTGGGGATGTAAGCATTTAGACCAAGGCACTGTATCAAAACCCAATTTATTTCATTGGAGGATGAATAACTCCCAAAAGTGACAAAGAGATTGAATGTAGAAATAAAGGACAGAAACTGATTAATATAGAAATACTGAATATTTTCTGCAAAATGGTTGCAGCATACAGTGTGACTGAATGTATCTGATCCATGTAAGTTAAACAGCAATATCAAAAAAGCTACAGATGTCCAGTTTAAACTGAGGCAGAAAATGCTGAATATCATCATTTTACAAATGATGTCTGTTTATTTATTTAGTCAATAGCAACATTTTTTGTAATTACAAAACATTAGCTCTTGTGTGATTTATTGCTATTCGACTAATCATGACTAAGAAGCAACTTTTGAATAAAATAATAAAATGATCAGATCTGTCACTTTAGACTGTTAGTTACTGAAGTGATTTGTAATTAGGTTGATATATTTTATTTAACTTGAGTGTAGGACGATTACATTAATATAACTCATCCAACACCTTTTAATTATTCAAATGTTATTATTTCTCCAGGCTCTGTGTGAGGTAGAGTACCAAATATCTTTAGTCAGGTTGATTAATCAATCCCAGATCAATTAGTATCTGCATCCATCCATCCAATCGTTGTCTACAGCCCCTTTTCAGGGTAGCAAGGTATTGGGGTGTCTATCTCCCTCAGTCCATCACAGGCCCAGAGAATATTCCTGTAATTTTAAAAAAGTTTAATTGAAACATGAGTTTGTTCTAGTTTTTCTCTGTCACCATCTGTCAAGATGGGACCGGCTATAAAGGGAGCCATTCCTTCCTACTGTTACCTCATGCTTTCTCAGGAGGAGTTGCTGAGTCAGTTGAATGTACATTGAGAACCTTTTACCACCTGCCACTAATGATCTGCTGAATGTAGTTGTTTTATAATTACAATTTCATGGATCTGTATGAGATATGAGGTTAAGGCTTCCACATACTCAGGCGTGCTTCATTCTAAGGAAGGTCTGCGTCTATTAGCGGCAGAGTCAGTGTGGACTCAAGGATGAAGTCCGCCAGACACAAGGTATTTATTTATGACCGCGGACGTGTACCCAGTGTTGGTGGGAAATGGTGTTCACATTGAACTGTTTTAGTATGCAACACTGAGATAAGTTTAAGTGTTGGCACAACTAGTCAAAGGATGCACAGCATCTGGGGCTGCGGCTCTGTCCAGTGGCTGCCCTAGTGGAGAAGAAACTTGTCTAAGTCCCCAGCTAGCTCACCAAGCATCCATTTGAAATGTAGGTAATGACGGAATTTGTCAAGCGAAATCTAGGTAATCAGTATTCTTGACATCTCAACCATGTGAAGGCAACATGCGCAGAGTCTGCGCATCTGACAGAATTTGCTCGGTAAGCCCAAGAATGTGGGAGCCTTTAGACTTGCAAAGTGCATTGAGATGACAACAAACTAAAATGAAGGTGAATCTTGAGCTAAATGAAGGCTAAACAGGACGGATTATATCAAACGTAGGAAGACTGAACTCAACCATAGATATGTTACATGTGCGGTACCTGTGTGAAGGGGAGCTTTGTCTCTTTGTGGCCCGGGATGTGTTTGGTACATGTCGCCTCGTTCCCTTCCTGGTTCCATCAGCGAATGGTACACATCCCGTTGGGGCTGCGACAGATCCAGGTGTTCCAGGTCCGAGTCCAACTCCCGGGCCCTCCTTTCCAACTCCGTCAGGCTGAGCTCTGAGGCTGCTGAGGAGGGAGGATGAGAGCCCCCAAAGCCGATGGGTGGCCTGAGGAGAGGCCATCGCTGCAGGGAGCCTGAAGGGGACTCTGGATCTCCTCCTTCTTCTCCACCTGCTTCCCGTTTTTCCCAGTCATTATTCCAAAGAGTGTTGACCATGTCAAGAACCGCATCCCAACCCTCTACTCCTCCTTCCTCTCCAAGAGTTAGTACTTGTCGGCCATCCACCTCCAGTTTCTCTGTATGTAGTTTTGCTTCTACCTCCTCTTTTGGACCAACTTTAATCTTTATACCTTGATCCTCCACTTGTTCAGGCTTTACTTCAACATCCATCTCTTTTTCCTCTTTCTTGTTTTTAGCAACATCTGTCTGGAGATTTTCTTCCACGTTTATCTTTGTCTTATGTTGTTTGGTTTCCTCCACAACTACCTTCTCATTCTTCAGGGTTTCTTCTCTCTTCTCCTCCTTTCCTTTGTTTTCCTCTTTCTCTGCCTTGTTCCTACTCTCCCCCCCTCGTTTGTCCCGACTTCTCGACCTCCTGTGTTCCTCTTGCTCTCTGCAGACTCTCCAGTGCTCCAGGTTCTGCTCCCTGAGAGATGCCCGGCCTACCAAACCGCTCCCCTGTCCAGGCTCTGGGTGAGCAGCTTCCCTCAGTGAGCATCGCCCTACAATAGGGTTCATCAGATTTGATAATGGATTCTCTGAACCATGCCGTAGGTGTGGATGCCTCTTCTCCAGGGCTGACAAGACAGAAGGGAGTGGGGGGAGGATAGGAAGATTGTGGAGCGCCCCTCCCTGGCGGACAGTCCTCTTTCGGACTATGATTCTGCGAGGCCAGGTGGACTCGATGTCCTCAGGTGGTCCAGCTGATTCAAAGTCTTCCAGCTGTTTGCTTTCTCGGGGGCTCAGTACTCCCGGACGCAGCCCAGTGGCTGTGCCTGGTCGAGACCTGGAGCAGGACTTGGATGATTTGGACTTGGATCTTGAGCTTTTCCCAGCATGAACTGACTTGGGTTTACCAGAATCCTCAAGCTTTCGCTCTGCTTGATCTGCAGGAGCAGATTCTGGTTTATCTGCTGCCACGGAGCTTACCTGAAGTTCACTTGTACTTTCAGCTTGATTGACAGTTTCACTCTCTTTTACTTCTCCATGACTGATCCTAGTTTCTGCTTCTGGCTCAGAAACAAGAGCAATCTCAGCATCAGCTTTAGCTTGTACACTGGAGTCAGATGTTAAATCAATATTAGACTGTGATTCAGGTTCAACCTCTGTTCCAACTTTGTTCTCTGGCTGTTGGAAGTGACCTATACCCCCAAAATCAAGCTCCGACTTGGTTTCAGGAACAGGAGCAGCTTCAACTTGAACTTTGTCTGCAGAACCAGCAATCTTCTCAGCGACACTCTTGCCTGAGTGTTCAGGTAAACGCTCTTGTCTACTTGTAGCTCCGCCAGCTTTGGTAGACGTCCCTCTATGTCCTCCCTTATTCTCTGTCCCTGACTGCACTTTTCCCTCCAAATCCCGACCTCCTGCCCGAGTTTTCACCTGAGAGCCCATCCTCTTTTCAGGTAGATTCTTCACACTGGATCTGGATCCGTCATCGTATTTGTTCCAGCTTTCGGCTCGATGGTGCTCCTGGTTTAACGCTCTCATTTCCACCTCAGACATGTTTCCCATTAAGACTTCGCTGACTAACCTGGGCCCGCAACCAGATTTACCATCCACCAACACTAAACTAACACTCCCACTGTCGCACCTAGGTGGCATCCCTCCACCAACCCCTTCTGGTCCTACCTTTGACCCGGCTCGGCTCCTCCCCACTGCTCCAGTACCCATCCTGGGAGCGCCACTAGGGGACGGGGAGGGGGAAGGCTGGGGGAGCAGCAGAGGAGTTGTGTCCAAGCCGTGTTCAGACTCTATAAACACAGAGTCTCTGTCGGAGCGTAGAGGAACTGGTCGGCCATAACCAAACGTCCCGAAAGTGGATGTCTCCCTTCTCTCCCTCTCTCGGGCTCTCTCCCTCTCCAGCCTGCCCCTCTCCCTCTCTCTCTCCCACTCGCGCTGGGCCCAACCTCGCTCCATCTCTCGTTCCCGCTCCCTCTCCCAGTCCCTGTCGCGCTCGCTGCGGCCCCATCCACCACCTCGCTCACTCAGGTCTTGCTCCAGGTCATGGGCAGACAGTTGGACCAGTGCAGTCCTGTAGGGGGACCTTCTGAGCTCCTGTGGGGGGGACAGCCTCAGGCTTTGGGTTTGGGAGTAATGCCTGGGGTGCATCACACGGGGAGGAGAACAGCGCAGGCTCTGGCTCTGACTGGGACGAGGTTTGGCTGGGGAGAAGAACACCGGAGTGTGGTATCCTGAGGAGAGAGGTGAGCCGGAGAAAGGTGAAATGAGAGGGGAGGTTAGAGAGGAGGACTGACCCGGTCCTGGGTAGTGGCCTGGATTCAGGTAGCTGCCTCCCCCACGCTCTATCAGCTCCACTGGAGGAATCTCCACACACTCCAAGGGTTGAGGAGATGACATTGCTTTCCAGGAATGCCGGCTCTCTCTGCTCTTTGTGCTGTCTCCATGGTGAGGGTGGTGGTGATGGTGGTGCTTCTTTGATGAGGAGGACACTCCTGGAGCAGAAAAGGAGGACACAGAGGGAGAGACGGATCGATTGAAATGTCCTGGAGAGTGGCATCCATCTATGTCCTCCACTCCCAGCTTGAGTGAATCGTAGATGGCTCTCTCATCCAGGCGCCGAACGAAGGAAGGGTTTGGAGTTAAGGAGCGTGGCTGTGGATCAAACATGTCTGATCTGCTGACTCTCAGGGAGCCACTGGTGGAGTAGCTGAAGCTCCCGTCTCCCCCTCCGTCCCGCCTCACTGACCCCCCGGAGTGGTGGTGATGGCTGTCGATCTGCTGATTGATGCACATGGTGTCATAAATGGATCGCTGAGGGATGTAGCCGTCGCCGTAACCCCCTTCCATCCCAACGTCCCGCCCTCCCACTCCCCCATCCCCAAGTCCATGTTTCTCCAGGCAGCAGGAGCTCTTCCTGAAACACCCAGGGCGGCTGAGAGGCTTGCCCATGATTGGTGCAGGGGGTTGGTGGGAGGCACGTCTAAAGCTTGAAGAATGAATTGTGAAGTCTTTAATTAACAAAATTAGAGTAGAACTGCTTTTCAAACCACTACTAACTGTCCAGGGTGTGCAGCTTCAGTCTCCAGAAAGACCATAAAAGCAGGAATTAAAGCCCCTTTTAGAAAATCCTTCTTGTTCTCCAGGGAAGAACTAAAAAATATTCCTGTTGTTTTCATGAGAAGTCAAAAGACTCTAAGTTTGGAAACATCCTTCTGTCAAAGGCTCCAGGACATGGGGACACTACAAACACCCTGAAGTCCAAACAGAATTCCACATTGAGAAATATTCCAATCAGATTCCAAAAGGTTGAAAACAGTTTTTTATTTCCACTGGAAAGCTCGTCTTCTCTTCCACTTTACTCACATTGTGACAGAATTTGTATTTGTTCTGCTTCTTTATTGTTCCCCTATCCTGATTAGAGCCAGTTAAATGTCTTTCCAGCAAAATGTTGGTCAAGAGACAAGAAACGACAAAGGATTGGATCCAGTCAGACCTGCTCCTCTCATTCTGCTGCTGTTTGATGATTAACGTCTCCTGCATAAGGAAGAAACAAAGCAGAGAAACATTATGGATGCCCTCCTAAAAATCTGCTTTCACACTTGCAAATAGTATTCAGAACCTGATCCTGCTTGTGGAGCAACTTCCTAACAAATAAGCTGCTTTTCTACAGCACACTGGGCCCTATTGATTACAGAATTAGACTCACTAAAGTTAATTCAGCTTAGAATGAGTAAGCCTGGTGACATCAATCCATTATTCACTCATTAAAGCTGAGAAGTGGAGCTTTAAAGCTATTTGTGCTTTAAAGCTCCAGGGTAACTTACCCTCATAGAAAGGGGTTGACTTTAGGGAAATGGGTTGACTTGATGAAAGGGGTTGACCTGATGGAAAGAGATCCCAAACTAATCAAGCCTCACTGGGGGACTTTCACATTCATCTTGACTCTGAGGGTGATAGATTAAATGTAGCCTTTAAAGCTAGCTTAGACTCGATTGGCTTCGTTTGGAGAACTAGCTTATCATCGTACATTAGACGTGCTGTCATTTGACATGAAGAAATGCAGAAGTTCCCCATAACTGTCTGACCAGTTTTAATAATCTTTCATTTCATTTTCACTGAGTATTCCAAGCCATTTTCTGATATAAACTGTCATTATATCAGATCTTTATCAGACAAAGCTTTAAAAGCCTTTTAGGAATCTCCTCCATGTTTCATTTCCTCTGAATCCCAGGGAGTAATTTAATCTTTAGTCCTTCTCTAACTGACGTTCATAGTGTTAATTCATTGAGTTAAAAAAGATAAATGTCCATAGCAGGTTGGCTCCTTGCTTTATCTCTGAACTGGGATTAAATTATCCTCCAGTAATAAAGTAAAGACCCTCTGAGTTATTTTAACCAGGACATGTCATTTTATCCCATATTTAGATTGTTCTACAAGTTCCTCCTTTAATCTCTGGGATATTGCCTAAATTCTAAACATCCTGTCCAGCAGTGAAGCTGATAATCCATGATCTAACCCATGACTCTGTTCCTTCAGGCTGAACTCTTCACTATCAGGAAGTTAAAATCCTTCATCTGATCCAAAATGCTGCAGCAGAGTTCTGATGGAAACCAGAACCAGATCAGGTTCTGCTGTTTAGATTCACAGCTCCCTGATAACCCAGATTATAATTTCACATAGAAAACCTCAATAACCAGATCCATCAGAAACCTGATCGGTCCAGAGGTTCCAACCAAAACCATTTGGTAGCAGTCTGCAGGTTTTGTATGTTCTAAGTGTTAGAAGCTGGTCTGTGTTCTGATTGGCTGGTTCCTTCCTGAGGTGTCGGCTGCCATGATGCTGCCACCACCTGATGATTCCACTGTTAATGTTTTACTTTCATGAATATCAGAAATAATCCAACATCATCTGGTTCTTCTTCTGGTTTGTCGTCTCTAACCTGCTGGTCCTGAACCCAGTTCTGGCTCTTGTTCTGGAAGTTTCTTTCTGTTAATGAAGTTTTTCCTCTCCACTGTCGCCACATGCATACTCAGCATGAGGAATTGCTATAAAGTCAACAACATAATGCCAGCGCCTCCTGCTGGTCAGGAGGAGTGGTCCTGAACTAATTGATCTTTCTGAACTGATTAACTGGAACCAATCAGAATCTCTGATGATTTTCTTTCAGACGATATTAGCTGTGAAGTGGCGCTTCTTAAATAAACTGAATTGAATGATGAACGACCATCTTCCCATTGAATCCCTTCCAAGATTTAGTTCTAAATGACTAAAGATCCATAATCCCAGCAGCTGAACAACTAAAGATCACATCTCAACATTTGTGTCTCTGGACAGCAGCGTTAAATTTAGACGTCCTGGTGATTCCTGTGGGGAACTTTGAGGAAGTTAGAGGAACACCTACAGCCGCGCTCACACACTGACAGAGCTGTGTGTGTGTGTGTGTGGGGGGTGGGGGGGGGTGAAGTTGGATTAAGCCTGATGACATAGTTTCCAATGGAAGCTGCTTGGATCCTGGAGCAGGAGCTGGAATGACGGATGATTCCCTCTGATGACATCAGAACCTCAGAGGAGGAAAGTTGGATGAAGTCGCTCAGAACCAGTCGAACCACAATTACCTTAAAATGGAAACCATTTCAAATGATTCATTTCATTGCGGATTCAGAAGAGTCCATCTGTGTCAAAGGAGCCTATTGATAGCAGAAAGCGTCTCCTGCTGCTGCCACCACCTGCCGACCCCCCCTCCCTCTGCCCCATATCGATTAAAGAGTCTGAACCTTGCCGTTGCCGTTGTTGTTGCCCTCGTCATCGTCGTCTCGGTCGCTGAAGCCGTCTGTGAATCCGGCTCTCTGCTCTCGTCTTCAGCATCTTCTGCTCCTCTGCTGCATCCTCTTCGTCTTCCTCCTCTTGCTCCTCTTCCTCCGCCGTAGCTCTGTTTTTCTGGCGTTCCTCTCCCTCCCTCTCTGCTGTGAATCATGCCTTCTGTCAGAGGAAGCTTTTTTCTTTCTCTTTTTTTGACAAGCGCTCTCTGCCAACCAACACACCGACGCAAACCCTCCTCCTCCTGCTCTCTCCCTTCCAGTTTTTATTTACCTCCCTTCAGCCTCCCTCCATCGCTCCTCTCTTCCTCTCCTTCTCTCTGCCTCCTATTTGCAGCTTTAAGGGCTTTAAAGGCTTCAGAGCCACAAAATTCCCTCTTTCCATCTCCATCTGTTCTTTCTCCGTCTCCCTTCTTTACCCTTTATTCACCAAGATTTCTATTTTCTGATCCAATTTACTTAAATCTATCTATCTATCTATCTATCTATCTATCTATCTATCTATCTATCTATCTATCTATCTATCTATCCTTTGCTCAGTCTCCCACACACTCTTTTCCTCTGCAGCTCTCTCCATCCTCTCGTACCTCTCGGTTTGCCCTCTCCCTCCCACTCTTCACCTCGGCGTTAATGCAACACGCATCGCTGTGGAGGCGGCAGCAGCAGAGTTACAGCAAAGAAAGAGCAACAATGGATCCTCACATGTTGAGCAGAGCTGTTTAAAAGCATCGTGATCATCAGCATCGCTTTGTCCTTTCCTCCTCGCTTACCTGTGTGGTCAGTGCATTGATGGTTCACCTGCAAAGTCTCATTGGAGGAAAAGCACTGCCAGCTAGCAGCTAGCAGGAGCAGCTGTGATTGGTCACAGTAACACTCTTTATCCTCCAGAAACCACAGAATGAAGAAGAGACTTCAACGAATGAACAGCAACTAAAACTCTGACAGAACCAAACCCAACCATTTAAATATCCACCACAACTTTGAAGAACTCTGATGGGACTTGGACTATAACTGACAACATGAATGCAAAACAAAATCAATCTGAGTTCATTCAGAAACAATCAAACTCGCCGTTTCTAAAACTATTCAGACACCACAAACACAAGCTGGCAGGCTGGCTTACCAGACTGCTCCAGTACTGGACTGGTTCCAGTCTGACATAAAGAACTGGGATTTATTTTTTCAATAGGAAACATCACATCTGTCGCTTGACAGAAGTCACATGTTGGGTTCCACAGGGCTCAGTCCTCGAACCTCTCTGTATGTGTGTCATAACTGGCTCAGGTTATGACAGGAAATAAAAGCAGTTACCATGACGACGCCGATGATACACAGCTCTACATTATGATGTCACCAGGTGACCTTTGACTCCGTCTGGTCACTGAACAGATGCTGAGAACAGATAAATGGGTAGATGAGACAAAATTTTCTGAACAGAAACTGAAGTTATTAAAGAGATACGATCTAGAGTTATATATCTAGAGCGGGGGTGTCCAAAGTTGGTCCTTGAGGCCCGGCATCCTGCGTGTTTTAGTTCTCTCCCTGGTTTAGCTCACCTGGATCCAATGATGGCTCATTAAAGGCCTGAGAACATTGACATGCTGTGGAGATTGTTACTACCACCAGGGAGAAAACTAAAACATGCAGGATGCCAGGCCTCCAGGACCGACTTTGGGCACCCCTGATCTAGAGCAATAAATCTAGAGTTACAGATCTATGTCAACGCACATCTTCAGTTCTTCCAGGTAGAAGCGGGAGATTGGTTTAACCTCTGACTTGAACTTTCAGAGCCACAGAAAGACGGTTCTAGAGTCGGCACAAAGTCAGATCTTGGCGCAACATGGATGTACTAAACAAGAAATAGAGGTTCAAGCTAGCATGGAGCAGAGAGCGCCCCCCACTGGAGTTTTGGAGTCTGACTTTTCTCATGCTTCCAGTAAGGCACAGACCCACCAGTCTAATCTGATTCAGCTGATATGTTTCCATCTCCTTTTTAACTCTGTTTTTTTTTTTTTTTTTTGCTTGGCTTAGCCTGTCTTACCTTGAATCTTAACTGATTTACTTTTCATATCTTTGACTTTCCCTGTATTAGCCTACCTGACCATAACTCACCTCTGCTTATCTTATTTTTGTTCAATCCAGGGTGGGTTAGGGTTGGTTGCTGTTTTCTCCCTTTCTCCACCAGAGGGCGCCAAGAGGTTGATTTCTGGAGAGCATGACAGGCGGCTGCCGGTTTACCTGCACACCTGCAAGTCATCTGATCATCTGGAGGAGTGTAAGAGGAAGGAGCAGCCAACACTTCTTTGCCAGAGTGTCAGCCAGTAATGGTACTTCAGGCCTCAGAGTTTTCTCCTTGTGGTTACCTTGTTGTGAACTTCCTAGTGATTCTTTGTGTGCCTCCTCCTCAGGTGAACCCTCGTGACGTCGTGGATGTTACCCACAGATGCCTGAGTTCCATTGACGCCCTCGCTAGTGATGGGCAAATGAAGCCTCATGAAGCAATGAACCTTCCCAGCCCTTTGGTTTGCAAAAAGGTTCATAACTCGATGCTTCATTCATCACTCACTAGTGACATCTGCTGGTGAAACTGTAACAGCCTTGTCACTCAGTTGGATCATACTTCCAAAAACTACTAAATGCAGTATTGTCACAAAGTTTTCATCAAACTCATGTTTAGTAACAGGAGAATCACTGAAACCATATTTAATTGTCATATGTTTCAATTATTAAAATGATTTGTAGCCAATCAATCCTGGTTTATGTTGAAGGTCAGTGGTTGTGTTGGGTTTTCTTTTATATCATAGACGGATTTGACAATAAAGACAACTGATGTTTTAATGTCTTGAGAGTGCAGTGTCTGTTGGGGCGTTCACTTTTTCTTGGATTTCTAATTGGCTCTGATCCCTCATATTTGGCTACATGCTGAATTTTAGTTCTGCAACAAGTTTAAATCTGTTTCTGCTGTGCAAGACTGATATATCTTTGCTAATCAGACTACAAATAATAGTGGAACTTTGCAGAAGGTGAGAAATTGGGAAGTGGAGGGCTAATTATTGTTATCTAAGAAGAATTTTATTGTGAACCATCATCTCAAAGTATTCCCAGAAGATGTCAGAGATTTTCCTCTTGCTGGCTCCATTTCAGACAATCAAGTTTATCTGTGTAGCACGTTTAAGCAACATGTTCAAAGAGATTTACATCATAAAATCACAAAAATATAGTTATTAAAAAACAACATAATCTACAATTGAGAAAACCAGTAACAAACAATACATTTTGATGAGTGCCATCAATACACATCGAATATGTTGGTCAATGTTCATTTTATTTGGCCACTAAAGACAAATATCCTCTGATGCGACCAAATGGACAACAACCCATGACACAGCAAGGCTCATCGCGCTTTTATTTTGAAAACCGACACGCAAAATGAAGCAGTCACGTGACCCATGCAATGCGAGGC